TTAAATATCGTTTGATGAATAAAAGAAATATATTTTGAACACCTCGCGGATAAATGTCAATTATTTTAAATAAATTATGTATCTGATTTATTTTAAAAACAAAATTATTTATATTTAATTAGTTTCTGTAATTTTTTTAAATTCATATTTCAAATTTTATTTATTTATTTATTTTATTTTATTTTTATTTATTTTTTTTTACTACGTGTTTGTTCTGTTCAATTTTTATCCTTTTTCTAAAAAAATTCTCTCAGATTCACACGATAATTTCAAAATACGTCAATTACATTTCAACTACGCCCCGATACTGAATAGAAATGAGCAAATTAAATTGCCTTAATGATTTTCAAAGAAAACATAGAAATTCTTTTGCATTTTTATTTAAACCTGAGGTGTGTGCTTTTGAATGAAAATTGCTCAAGTGGTGGTAAGACCAAGTTCTAAAGAGCATCAAAGAAGTACTATAATGCATAAATGCTGGACTAAAAACCGGCGACAAAATGTGAGAACCAAATAATCCTACAAAGAAATAGCATATTCGAGTGAGAAATACAATCGACAAATACAATTGTAGGGTAAAAAATAATATTATCAATTATATATATATAATAAGCTCAAACTATTTCTCTAAGCCAGTGGTGAGTTTAAATGTGGTGAAGATGGCCAGAAGTGAATTTATACTCACTTCATTGTTTGTGATATTTGGATTTATTTATTGACATACTTTTTCGTATATAAACACAATGGAATAGTAAACAAAAAGTGATTGACTTCGTTCATTTGTTGGCGGTTTTTGTGGAGGCGTTTGGAATGTGAAACCACTGGTCACATGGAATTACAAAACGTGGCGGCAGATTATTAAATCTTTTGCTTAATATATGTAAAAAAGCCACATTTTCACTTATATGTTTAAAATGTGTATAGAAAAGCAATAGCAGGAAATTAAGAAAAATGTATGTGAAAGCAATACGTTGAATGCATACTCGTAAATGAATAAGGAATAGAGAACTTATCTAGTAAGCCTATTAGTTGTAATTCGTTAATATGAACATTTAGTGGCGTATTACTGATATACTAGTGTACATATACCAATATGTACATTGGTTTAGACTGAAATGATGATTAAGTAACGTTATTGTATTAAAGTTTAGAGCCATTTGGCTTGAAAGAGTTCGACTTAGCAAAGCACATCACACCCACGATGACCTTCTCTAGTGAACTTTAAAATGTCATGGTATCGCATATGTTAAATCTTAAAAGGTTTTTAAAACTTTGAAAAAAGAAAGGAAATAGCGTAAAGTTTATATTCCTAAGCCCAAAACACATAATAGATTATTAAAATTTAAAACTTATTAAAAATTTTTTTTTAAATGAAATAAAAAAATAATTATTTTTAAAGACATAATACTAATTTTATGATCAAACACACCTTAATTTCGTAAAAATCATAATTTTATCTTCATTTCAGTAAAATCAAGTTGTTTTTTTCCATACAAAACTCTGTTTTGAGGTTAGAATGAAATTAAGGAAATTAGGCTGTCTGAACATAGTATAAATATAGTTGAACATAGTTTAAATATATATTTAAAGGCGTATTTCAAAAGACGTTTTGATTTGTTATAAATCAATTTTCAATTTTCTTATAATTTCATAGTGCATAGTTCCAGATTTCATCTCTTCGATTGTGAGAGGCTTAATGACCATATCAATATATTATACAAATTCTTCTGCTTATATGTAAAAGTCTGCATTTTGTTAGAATAATATTTCAAATAATTTATTTTTTGACGTAACAACTTTGCTCCAAAATAAATTAAGGAGTCGGTACTGGCTAATTTTACTATAAATTGGGTCTTAGCATCTCGCTTTAATTTTTGAAGCATTGCAGTGTCTTTCAGGTAGAAATAATGACTATTTACTATGCATTAAAATGAATCCTATGTAATAATATTTTCAATGTAAATATCATAATGTACCCGGACAGCCAAATTGCTACCAAATCTCTGGTAAGTGCTATATTCTTAACAGGTCGAGAATGTTTGGCTTCTCTGAACCATCTGGTTAGTTAGCTAGTTCAGCTTTTATGGGTATATGGATACTGGAACATCTTGGGTAATCGCAGGGTACATAAGCTAGCCAGGGTAAACCATCTGCTTTCTGGCACTCATATCTCGGTTATTGCTATTAAGAACTAATGACACCAATATTAGACCAGACATTAAACAAAAAATATTTGACTAAACAAACTTGAGTAGATGAAAACTCCTATCAGTTTTTAAAAAACTTATTGTAAGCGACTTCAATTAAAACGGATCCTGCTTAGCACAACGGTATCCGTGCTGTCAGATCACTACTACAAAGACATTATATTTATTAGACGGGATCCATCCTTTAAAAAAATTTGTCTGAGTTGTGATTCTGTAGATGAGAAAGAAACTGTACTTCACTTCATGTATCTGTGCTCATCATTGGCTTAGAGAAGATTCAAAATTTTTCGGGTCACTTTTGTTACTGACTAGACGCAGCTGTTAGCCAAGTTTATATTCTTTTCGGGTTATTTTACTTTCAATTGAATCGACCACTCATGTCTTTCAATATTGTTCGTATGCTGACTACTGCGGTCCTGTAGCGGATTCTTCTGATTTACGTATGAAAAATGTGAAATCAAAACGAGTCATTATATGAGCTTAAGTGGGCTTTAGGTCAGTTCAACTTAACCTACATTACTTTCTACATAGTTATCGATTTTTAGAACTAATTTCAATATCTTTAACATGTTCGACAGTTGTTAAACGTTCAAAATGGCAAACCTTAAATATTGAAGTAGGGCTTTAAAATTAAGACTATGAAAATGGATAATCCTATATTTTTAGAATTTTATCTACTTTACCGGTCACTGTATAAAGATAATACGTTCAGCTAGTTTGTCTGTCTTTCTATAAAAATTTGAAAACCCTTTTATGTATACATATTTTTAGTTTTAAGCTAATTGATTTTCTACTTTCCTATTATTAGTAGTCTACCCAATTTTGCTATAATGCATAATTAATATTTTTTTGTAATTTTTTTTTTTGAATTTCAATGAAGGTGAAGAGTAGCAGTTTTCTATTCAATGTTATCAATTGATTAGAGTTATTTCATACTGTACTTTAAGTAGTTTATTTCCTTAATTCTACTTCTTATCTTTCGTTATAGGAACTGTATAGACAAAGCTTTTGTTGCAAGAGTTATTTCTATAAATACGAAAAAAATAATACTAACAAATAATTGAATTTATACTAAATATTTTTAAAAATAGTTCCAAATTTGAAAACTTTTACTTAAATACTAAAAATAAGCTTTATATTTGCAACTACATAAATCTGTAATCTCTTAGAAAAATCTTCGCAAATTGCAATTTCTTTCTTAGAAGTAACTTTTAAAAACTGTAGAAAACTCTCATAACTCAATGGGGCCACACTTAAATGCATTTCATTTAGGCCATATCAAAATGTTGATAAGTAGCACTTTTACTTTTATTTTTTACACAAACATGAACACATTTCAAATACCTTCTATGAGCCAAAATCCTTTCCGCTCCCTACCTACAAAACCAAAAAATTGCTGGCAGTGTGACTATTTGGCGACTAACTATTGCCATAAATTACTAAATTTCCAACAAACTTTCAGTTATTAAGATAGTCTGTTGGGCAAAGTCGTTGATGCTGCATGCTGCATGTTGCTGATGTTATTTTCTGAAACTTTTTTTCTATATTAAAAATTTCCGGAACTTGCCAGACTTTGTCAAAATATGAAACGTGACCAAAACCATACAAGCTGCATTGCATTTCCTTAAATCACTGGTCGTACATTTACGAAATTTAACTGAATTACATTTTTATAATTTTTTTCTTAATTAATTTTATTTTTTTCTATTTTGATATTTAAACAACACCGTTTGCCTTAATTTATTGTCACAACAAAATTCGCTGACTGAAAGTTGTTTTTATAGTTAAGAAGAAAGTTTAAAAATTTTTTTCTATCTTTATATTTTGCGGTTTTTCATCTCATAGTTTTGTATTTTTAATTAAAACACTTTACTGTCTCTTCTACGTACCATTTTGTCTGCATAT